CTTCCAAACTCTCCCCACCTTATTTTCCCCAAATTCTCAGCCTCATCACTGCCTCTGCCACTCACTCTCCCAACATTATTGAAAAGATAGTGCCAGGTACTGTACTATCCCTGGAGAGGTTTAAAAAAAAAAAACCTGCTGCCCTCAAGAAGCTTAGAGTCTGGGAGGGGGGAGGAGTGGCTGGGGGGGGAGGGAATGTATACATAAAAATATAAAATAGATATAAAGTAATGCACTAGCAATTTGGGTGATCAGAAGAGACTTCCTGTAACCAGGTAGTACTGGAGCTAGGCAGAAAAAAAGCAAGGGCTTCTGGGAGGCAGAGGTGAGGGAGAGAATCTAAACCAAAGCAGACAGACTAGAGATGGAATGTCATGAAAGGGGAGCAGCAAAGGGCCAAGTCTGGCTGGAACAGAAGAGTACCTGAAGAATAAATATGTGCAACAGGCCTGAGAAGGTCAGCTGGAGGCAGATGACAAAGAGCTTTCTTTAGAAGCCAAACAGATCACACAGCATTTGAGTCTAGAGGTAACAGGAAGTCACGGGAACTTGGCTTGGGGGATGGGGGAGTGGGTGATATGATCAAATCTGTACAGGTCTAACAATTTGGCAGCTCCACAGAAGATGGACTGGAAAAGGAATTGGTAAAAGGCAGGGAGATCAATTAGGATATTACTGCAATAGTTCAGGTGAGAGGTAATAAAGACCTGAATGATAAGTGAGATAGAATGCAAGAGATTTCTAACGTAGAAGCAGAATAGACAGGACTTGGCAATTCAATGGATACAAGGATAAGAGTTAAATTTAAATAGAATATATGACTGCTCAAGAATGTCTCTGAGGTTGTGAACTTGGCTAACTGGAAGTATGATGGTATTCTCAATAGAAAGAGGGGAGGGTTTAAAGAAAAGGTAAGTTCTATTTTGAATGTGTTGAGTTTGAGATGCCCATAGGACTTCCTGCTGGAAATCAGATCCTAGGATTATAGGATCATAGAGTTAGAGCTAGAAGGGAAGTTAGAGGCCTTTAACCCCAAGCTCCTCATTTTACAAATAAGGAAACTAAGACTGGGGGGTGGTGTGACGTTAAGTGATTTACCCTGTATCATATAACTACAGTAAGAATCTGGGGCAGGATTTGGATGCAAATCTTCTTGACTCCAAGTATAGTGACATGTAGGCCTGAAATTCAGAAAAAAAAAAAGGCTATGGCTGGATATATACAGATCCGGAGGTCATCTGCAAAAAGATGATAGAAGGGAGCTGATGAACTCACCAAAAAGTAGAGGATATAGAGTGAGAAGGAAAGAGGCCAGTATATATAGATAATAATTCAGCAAAGGAGACTGACAGATAAGTAGTAGCCAGAGAGGTAGAAGGAGAACTAGGAGAGACCAGCACTATAAATACCCCTGGAAGAGACAGCACCTAAGAGGAAGGGATGGTCAACAATGTCAAATGCTACAGAGATCTTGGTTAAGGAAAAAGAGAATTGAGAAAAGGCTACTGGAATCAGCAATCTTAGAGAACATAGCTTCAGATGAATCAGAAGCCGGACTGTAAGGGTTTGAGAAACAAATAGGAGATAAGAAATTGGGGGCATTGAGAATAGAGGTAGCTTTTTTGTAGGAGCTGAATTGTGAAAGGGAGGATATAGTATGATAGCTTAAGGGGATGGTAGGATCAAATGAAAGTTTTAAGAATGAGAGGGATCTAAGCATATTATTAAGCAGATTGAAAGGACACCCGGGATAAAGACAAAACCAAAAATTAGGAAGTGGAAGGGATGGTCCAAGGAGATAGCTCCCAGAGAAGACAGGAGGAAAATGAATAAAGAGAAAGATGTTGGTATTGGCAAGGAAAAGGGCCACTTTTTCCTACAAGGCTGGAGCAACAGAGGAAGAAAGTTTGGAATGATGTTGAGTTAAGTATAGATCTGGACAGAATAGGGAGTACACAACAGAAGTCTCAATATTCAAAGGCAAGTATGAATGAAGGAAGAGGGGAAAGGATAGTACAGGTGGCTTGAGGAACCAAGAAAAAGATCAGTGGTCTTTCACTGATAAACCAAAGTCTCTTCTCAATCCTCATTTATCCTAAGTGGTACAGTGTATAGGGTGATGGACCTGGAATCAGGAAAACTCAAGTTCAAATCCAGCCTGATGCACACTAGCTGTGTGAGACTATCTGCAAGTTAGCCTCTGTTTTCTCACATGTAAACTGAGAATAGTAAGAGCACCTTCTGCCCAGGGCTGTTGTACAGATCTATGAGATAATATTTGTCAAGTAATATGCACACCTTAAAGCCCTATATAAAATCTAGCTATTATTAGCTGTTATTCCTTGACCTCCAAGTAGTATTTGATACCATCCCCTCCTCTAGCTTCTATGACACTGCCCTATCCCATTTCTCTGACCTTTCTTACTGTTTCCCTTCTCTAGTTCCTTTCCTGGCCCATCCTCCTCATCCCCCCCAATCCCTTATTTTAGGCATTCCCTACAATTGTGTTTATTCTTGACCCTCTTCCTTTCTCTACAACTCACTCTCCCTTGGTAAACTCAGTCACTCCCCCAGTGTCAACTCCGGTGGAAGCCTCCCCTCCCTGATCTAAGTCTCCAGTCCCATGCTCTCGTGCTAAGTGCTAAGGAAACCTCCAAATCCAACCCACCATCTTTCTCCCCAGTCAGCTCCTCCTCCCTACATCTGCTCTTTGCCCCTCACTTGCTCCCTGCCCCTCTCCACTCAGTCACTAAGCCTTAGAGTCCCTATCAGCAGTATTTCAGCTCGCCTTTGCCTTCTTATGGCCAGCAATAACAGTTCAGGTCTTCATTACCTCTCAAAGCTCCAGAGGGTAGCCAATAATCTCTTAGGCTAATCCACTCAATATACCACTTGGAGGTTAATTCTTCTAATGCCAGCTCAGGTGCTGTCACTTTTCCTCTTTTAGAAAGAAAAAAAAACCTCCAATGGTTCCCTACTGTCTATTCAAATAACATCCAAACTTCTTAGCCTGGCATCCAAGATTTTCCAACAATCCGCCCCCTTCATCTCCTCCTTCCATGTATGGCCTTGTAAATGATACAGTCACCCCCAGAGCTTACAAAGGATGCCACTTTCTACACTCCACCATTTATCACTATCAAACATGTCCCATGTTCTCCCACCTCCAAAGCAAACGAAGTCACTAAGTGAGAGAATATAGAGGTTACCATAAGTACATTTTCCCAAAAGTTCAGGAAGAAAATAATCAGGGCCTGGCCTCAGGTGGCTGTGGTAATGTATGAGTAAAGAGACAAGGATGGAAGATACCTATGGGATAACTAGGTGGAGGTGTCAAACAGACAGTAAAAGATTCAGTATGAGAGCTCAGTTCAGAAATGAGGGCTCCACACAAAGGTCTGGGAATCATCTGCAGAGAGATGATGATCAAATTCATGGGAGCTGATGAGATCACCAAGACTGTATGCAGGGAGAGAAGAGGGGGCCCAGGACACAGTCCTGGGGCACACCTACACGTAAGTGGCAGGAGATGGTGAAAAAGAGACAGAGAAAGATAAACTCAACCAAGACCTAGAAGGAGAATGACAGAGCAGTGTTATGAAAACCCAGAGGAGAAAGAACCCACTGATGGAGGGGTGGTCAACAGTGTCAAATGAGAAGAGAGATCAAGAAGATTAAGAACTGAAAAAAAAAAATTGGATTTAGCAAAGAACAGAGCAATGTTGACTTTGCAGAAGTGCAGTTTCACAGAAGCCAGAGTGGAATTTCTGTATTTATTCTCTCCCCATTCAACCTGTAAGCTTGAAAAGCAAGACCCTATATCACCTCTCTGTGTATCCATCAAGAATGCCCACAGTATCTTGCACATAGTGCATATTATGTACTTTTTGCTAAATTTAATGGAATTGAGCCAGGGCAAGCTCAAGATGCCTAAAGAAAAAATGGATAAGTCTCAAAGTATTTGTCTATTTTAAGACTTCCTAGAAATTTTGTCTATTTGGTGAACAAGTGGGCCCTAAGTCACACTTCTTTTGCTGACATCATGAAGTGATCCCAAATTAATCTATGACAAAAGGTCTTCAGCAGCTACCAATATTTTAGTTTCCATAATGTCGCTAGGTCTAGCAAAGCATGTCGATGTGCTTGACTTAAAAAAAAAAAAAACATTAACTAAATCTATACCTCACAGACAGAAAAGCATTCTGGACCATGTCTTTAATTTCCCATCTATATGCTGATTAAAACTTGGCTTCAGAAAGTCCTTCAAAATAATCAAACTAATGCTGACTGATCAGAGAGACGGTTTCAGAGATTGACTTCAGCATTCACTGGAGGATCAAATTTGGAAGCTGACAGCCAAAGGCTCAAATTCATCAAATTAAGGGCTTTCCCTTTCCTTCCCTCCTCTTTCCCACCAAGGGAGAACAAAGGATAAACAATAACAAACAACAATGGAGTAGTCAAAACAGAGACAAGAGTTCCAACCTAGACTCCATCACAAATCCTTCCCGGTATCTTGAAAAAAGAAAGTGGGATATATCAGAGCAAAGGCATTGGCAAAGTCCCTAAGGTAAACATCCCTAGTTCAGAAGGCAACGTTGTTTCAACTACACTGAGGGCAGTTCCATGCAGGCTTCTAACCACAAAAGAGATAGCTACTTCATTATCACATGAGTTAATTAACGACTCAGGTTTCTCTAACTTTTGCAATAGTTCTGTCTGACAAAAACATCTCATAAGATTGACCCAAGAGAAGCAGAGAATAACCACACTCTAATTTTGTTCTATGAGGTGTTGAATTTAACTTAAACCTGAAAAGTCAAAATTGGCTGAATTAAGAAGCCAACTGAAAGGTAAAATGAAACTTTCCTTCCTCCACAACTTCTTCAGAGTCATACTATTAACTTCGAATCAGAAAGTTATAAGGTACTATGACTGATGACCTAGTAACTTTCCCTGATCCAGAATCTAGGAGCTACAAAGAAATATGCCATATTTACCTGGTTTTGCCTGTTTCAGAACATCGCCTGAGCAGAAAGCAAGCTCCCTCCAGTTCCTACAGCTGGGGACACCAGAGCCATTTCCAGATGAGATCATCTCAGGAACCAACAGCAGCAGCTTTCAGGAAAAGTGAATGGTGCCTCCTGGGGATGTGTCTTTGGCAAGCAATACTGCAACAGTGCAAACTTTACTCGGAGAAGTGCTGATTCATGCCATGCAAAACTGTAATTTACCCAAAGCCTCTGGATGCCCTCTATGAGCAAGAGAAGATGATCAAGTTGAGTCTGAGTTTTTTAAATTTAGAACCAATGACTCAGATGAAGTAAAGCACTCACTACCCGCAGCATTGCTTGCTCCAGCCCCACCGTGTCTGGGGACACTTTTCCTGAGAGCCCCTGAGGACAGTTTCTGAAATTCCATCTGAGAACTACAGGGGAGTTCAACAGTGCTAGGTTACAGGCAACTGTTCCATTTGTAAATTCTGATGATTTCCCAAGGAAGGGGATAAAGAAAGTTATTTGGCATCTGGGTCACTGGCCCCTGGGAACTTACTTATCCATTCATCCCAGGCAAGTCAGATCATTCGGGTGAATTTGTCAATTCAAACCTGGCTCATTTCTCTTCTCTTCCCCCTAGGCCTCTACTCTCCATTTTCTTTAACTACACAAAGCTTATTACTACAAAAGTACTTCGGCTATTCTATCAGCTGCAACTTTCTCTAAAGGTTTCCAGTGAGGCAAAGAGAAACTAAATTACCTGCCACTATATTACCAGAATAAATAAGGAAAACAAGAAAATTTAAAAATAGCCATGAAATTCAAGCAGAAGCATCAATACCTACTTTCTACAATCCTTGAGAGCCTAGTGAATTTTCATTTCTTGTTTCGCTTATTTAAAAAAAATTTACTAGTTTATCATCATCTGTTAACATTTACTAAATTCTCCAACCTTGTTGGCAACTATACCTTACAAAGCACTTAAGACAAAATCCCTGCTTTGTATAAGAGCACATCTGGAAAGAAAACAACACAGAATAAATACACGCATCCAGTCAGAAGCTGAGCTGAGAGGAAAGTGGAGGGGGAGAGAAAGAGAGAGAGAAGAGGAAATTTGTATTCAACTTAATTCTTTATCCCCAAACTCTCTTAGATTCTCTTTAATGCCATTATTTAAGTAAGGTATTTGCAAAACATGATTAAGATTTTGTAACATTACATAAAATACATAATTGTTTCTTTTTATAACATCTTTCTTTACAGAAAAGGTTGTGTTTAGCTTAAGAAGACTCCCTAAAGCTGGTTTGTTAATTAACCATTTTAAAATGAGTAGTGTGTCTACTTTAGCTGCATTTGGTGAAAACTGCTAAAAGAGTTTTGTAGCTAAAGATAAGAGAGCCACATATCTAAATGAAAAGGGGGTAAAACAGCCCTCAGAGTTAAGACTACTATTGTACCAACTTCAGGGAAAACAGACTCAGGAGAAAGAAGGGCTTCTGGCTTTTTTCTATTGGGAACTTGAGGAAGCAAAATGGATCCCTCAGGGGTTTGGAAACACAAAGGGTCAGATGCCAACTGCGGTGCCACACCCATATAAACATGAATTTGACAAGAGCCATCAGTTTTCTATACTTTTCATTATTTAGAAACTGGGAAGATAAGGAGAACTCTTATTCCAGTTGTTTACTATTAAAGCCACTAGGATATTAACAAATGTGTTTCCTGAATAAAGCTATGTATTATAGGAGCCTCATAGAAAATGGTCTTTAGCACCTGCATTAATGCTATCCTTCAAGACACCAGAAAGACAAATGGGTGACACTATTTGTACAAGGGGGCAGGCGGCTAGGTGGCGCCTTAGTGCAGAGTGCTGGGCCCAGAATCAGGAAGACGCATCCTTCCTGAGTTCAAATCTGACCTCAGACACTTCATAGCTATGTGACCCTGGGTAAGGCACTTCATCCTGTTTGCCTCAGGTTCCTCATCTGTAAAATGACCTGGAGAAGGACCGGGAAAACTACTCCAGTATGTCTGCCAAGAAAACCTCAAATGAGATAAGGAAGAGTCACCTACAACTTGAAATGACTGAACAACAACAATTTGTTCAAGCAGCTCCCATAACCTTCATTGAGTAAGGGAGGAAGGAGACTTCATTTTTGCCATGTAAAAAATACTGACTTTCATCCGACACATACTATTCCCCCATTCCAGACATTCCATTCCTTCAGGCACCAGAGACTTGATGAAAATACAGAAAGTCGGTGAGTAGGAAAAAACAAAACTGAGCTTTAGACTTGAAGATCTTTCAGCACAGTATTTGAGAGTTCAGACAGGTAATTTACCACCAACAGCAATTTATAACAGGTTGTTTTATTTTTCATGAGTGGTCACAACAGATGTTTAAAGTTTATATATACACACACCCCTGTTGTTTTGCTCCAAAGGAAATATGTAATGCTCTTCACAGCCCACCTTCCCTTTTCTTCCCTGGTATTGCAGATTATAAACAATAAGTAGTTGTCAGGACAGAAGCAAAATACATCAGTCCTCAGTGCTATGGAATACTCCCTAACTAAAGAAAACAGTGAGTTTAATCTATTTGGCAATCTTTGTACGCTCACAAGAAAGAAACGATACCATATCATACGCATAACTTGCTGTTTCTAAGCTGCCTTATCCTCCCCTAACATTCTTTCCTCATTTAATGAACTCTCTCTCTCATCTTCTGAAATGAAATGCTACTGACTTTTAATCTTTAGTGTTTGGAGATTTATGCCACTTTTAAAAAACTGGAGTGTGTCCTCCCCAGAAAGATGACATGGGATCTAATATAAAAACCCTTTTATTATGAGATGCATGGATCACAGAAGTGGGACAGAGTGGGAAAAGGGTAGTCCACATCGAGATCACTACCCAGTGGCAGACATTTCCAACAAATCCCTGTGCTTTTTTCACTATAGGAAAATTCATTGCTTTTACAAACACTACACAAGCTAGATTTTACTTACTACAGCAAAATCCCAGAAATAAATTGTCTCTTACCCTTAATAATAGCCAGGGGAGGAAAAAAAGAGTTGAATTTCATTAATATTGTAGGTTAAACCATTCTTTTTTAGGAGGTTCCAGGGGCAAGGATCCTAAATACTATTAAGTATTTCAACTATCAAATGAAGCTTTGTTATTCAGAGCCATTTTTGCACCTGGGATGTCACATAATGTCATTTTTACCACTGTGCAAATTAAAGTTCATTTAACTCTAAGTCAAATAAAACAAAAGAAAAAAGCTTTTGACTTACAATGATGTGCCAGTTTTACCTAGCAATTCAAACCTCAGTATACTTCAGCTTAAGTATCTTAAGAGTACCCCAATGCCAACTTATCACTGCAACATCAGCAAATACAGGCTGACTGTAACCCTGGAAGCAAAGACCTGCTGTATAAAGTGGCCTCTCCTGGGACACAAAACCTGTCGCCATAACAGGGATCATTCCATCCTGGGGCCAGAAAGACTGCCAGTCCCTTTAATCTTTAAGAAGCCACTTTCACTTTCAGACACTGGACCTCCAGGCAGCATAGGGTTCCAACAGTCCACACCACTCATTGTTTTAAAAAAAAGAAAGTGAAAGCTGTGCCTTAGTACATTGGTGGAGCCAGGACCCCTAATACCAGTCACTAGAATCTGCTAAGCCCAAGCTTTGAGTTTTAAAAAATTCTCGGAGATATAAATATGCAGGAAGGTGATCAATGAGCAAGAGCTATCAAGATCAATATTCGAAGCTAAATACCTACCTCCAGCATACTGAAATGCCTGACTTCCTAAATATCAGGAAGTGGAAAAAGTCAAAAACAGAGAGGAAATAAAAAGTCCAACACTGACAAGGACATAGTATGGAGATCTGACAACAGAAACAGGAATCAGGAATTCAGTGATTTGACCAAATTATTATCCTGAACAGCTCATCTCAGAAAACTAAGCATCACAATTCTTGGAAACCTTCAGCATGAGAAACTTCCTACACAAAACTATTTCTGAGCTGCTAATTCAAAGGAGGTTGGGGGTTGGGGGGGCAGTAAAGGGAGGGAAGGAATGGGAGGAGATAAAGCCCCTGATATCACTGAACAAATTTAAAGGCAGGAAAATGAAGGGACAAGGCAATGTTCCATCATTCCTCCTTACGCCAGTAATAACTCTAAGTGGAATGACTCTGGACTGCTACTTTGCAATCTAGACAGAATTCATAAAGGACTGGAAATCTGATAAAACTCATCATTTCTGGATAGCCTTACTGCCTCTTCCTGTTGTCTCCTTATAAATCCACTGTCCCACCTTTATCCTATTAGTTAAACTTGCCTTTCCAACTGAATTTTCAGCATGATTTCCACTAAAAATACCAAAGACTGAATTACTTCTACCCTCTTCCTCAGCCTTAAGGAACCTTTGTTGACAGCTGCCCATACTGTTTCATTTTGACAGGCAATTTCTACCAGGTAGATTGGATTACCTGTTCACCCACAGTTAATCTTCAAACTGGTTTCTGCAGGATAGGGAAATAAAAGAATAAGGCTGTACTTCGTGAATATTCCATCCAAGCAAAGTAATGGCAGAGGCAGAGAAGGCAGGAAAGATTCCAAAATCAGAACTCAACTGCACATTTCAGTAGCACTTAAGAAAACACTCCATCTACCTACTTGGCTGATGAGATGAATTCCCAAAGGACTGTACTCTCTCTAAAGATTACTGCGCACACTGCTCTCTCCCTGAGGTTCTTCAAGAGTTTGAATCATAAAATCTGGCTTACATTATTTATAATAAAATGGAAACATACACTAACATACAGGAGTTCTTCAAAATGCTTTCCAGTTTACTTGGAAATAAACTTCAAGTTTATTTAAACCCAAATGCATCTAACTGTGAATTCAGAAGAGTGCTTCATAGCTCTTTCAAAAGTATTCATTTTTCTTTCCTCTTATATAAAAGAAAACCCAAATGCTCAGAAGGAATGCCCAGTCAGTAAAGCCCATTTAAGTTTTAAAGCTGAGCAAGGGGAGGTTTTTTAGATCCATTCTGAAGTACCTTCAGTTTATTTGGGGATGCATTCA